CATCTTCTTCTCCATGGGTTTGGGTGGTTTTGTGTAATTGGATAAAAAAGTGCACATTGCAGGCCAAGGGTGGTTGGTTATTGAGTTAAAAGTAAAAATAATTAGGTGTCATTTCTTAATAGGACAGTTTATCCTTAAAAGGCCTTATAGAGAGAGATGGGGCTCCATTTTAGTTTGTTAGAGTGAAGTGCTGCAGAACTCAGGGTTTGTGAGATGTAACACAGATAAGAACTAACAAACATCTGAGTCCCAGCAAGAAATACCACCTCACACATTTCATCCCTGGCAAAAAGGGAGCAAAGATTGCTCCTAGAGCAGCACATCCCAGAGACGTTTTCCCTGCATTTCCAGTAAAAAGTTGCAGCACTGAGCTCAGCAGCCCCAGGGGCTGGGCTCCCACAGCCTGGAGCACACTCCTCACACAAATGCCAACTTTACCCAGGGATGAGCAAATTCCTGCCCATCTCCAGGACCCCAGGAGCTCCCAGGGCTCATCACAGACAGCACCAGCTTATGGGACTGCAGAAGAAGGAGAAAGGGGTGACCCAGCAGATTGTCCCCAGCACACAGGGTCCCCTCCTGGCCCTTTGCTTATCTCTTACCAGGAACCTGTAAAAGCCCCCATGAGCACACCCCAAGGGCCAGCCCAGACCCTGCCCTCCTCACACAGCCCAGGACAGACAAACACCTTCCCAAGGAGCTGCTTTCCTGGAGGGCAGCACCCCCAGGGGGTTTGGAGCCAGTCCCAGGGCATCCCATGGGATGAGAGAGAACTGGAAGCTCAGAGCAGCTCTGAGAGCCAGTCCCAGGGCATCCCATGGGATGAGAGAGAACTGGAAGCTCAGAGCAGCTCTGAGAGCCAGTCCCAGGGCTCTGCTGCTGCCTGTCAGCCACATCTGCTTCTCCCCACGTGTCCATCCAAGAGTGGAGATGTGAGCCCAAAGATTGCTGAAGCCTCAGGCAGCTGCCCCAGGGGCAGAGAGGGGCAGGAGGAGCAGGGAGCAGGAGGACAGCACTGGGGCAGGGGTGGCAGTCAGGTCCTCTCCAGCAGACACATTTCTCCTGAGCAGGTTCCCTGGGATTCCCTTTCCATCCCTAAAATCATTCATGTGTAATTAAATCAACTGATGCCAGCTCAGCCTCCAGCCTGGAAGAGCAGCTCTGGGTGACACAGTCACCCACGTGTCCCATGGCATCTCTGTCCTTGGAGGAGCTCAAACTGGGGAAGGACAAGGCCCTGAGAAACCAAATGTGACCTGGAATGGCTCTGCTCTGAGCCCTCCTGGGGGCTCTCCCAGCTGGCTGAACCAAGGACTAAAATGATTGTTTTATTCCAGTCTCCAGGAGCTTGAGGAAGGAACACAAACGCAGGGGGGAAGTGGTTGGTACCACAGGTGGTTGGAATGTGACAGGAATGGGATGAACTCCAACCAAGGGACCTGGGATAAAACAACCTGGGGAAAAAACAGCCCTGTGCACCTGCAAAGGCTGGGGCAGCCAGCAGAGAGTGCAGGGCAAGACCTGGGCCAAAAGCTGAGTGTGGAGCAGCCCAGAGAGTCACCAGGGCTGGCCCAGGGTCAGCAGGGACAGGGAGCAGCTCCTGCCCTGCTGCTCAGCTCTGCTGGGGCCTCACCTCAGCTCCTGCCATGGACTCCCAGCCCAAGAGAAACAGAACCAAGGGGTCAGAGAACCTCCTGAGCTGGAAGAGACCCAACAAGGACCTCCAGGCCAACTCCCAGCCCTGCTCAGGACACCCCAACAATCCCACCACGGGCTGGGAACATTCTGAGCCAAAACTCCCTTTATTTGCCCACGGTGGTGCCTGCACAGGGAGCTCTCTGCTCTGGGCTCGTGGTGGTCACTGTGGCACAGAGCTGCTGCTCACACACCTCTGAACCCTCAGGCTGTCCCTTCAGTGGCAATTTCTGGCCAGTTTGACCCACTGTTCCCACAGTTTGATGCTGGGCCACTGGCAGCCCTCAGGGATCAATTTTCAAAAGAGCGTGCAGGAAGTGTGAGCACAAATCTTATTTGTTAATGGGCTTTGTGAACATACCTCCTGTGATTTTTCAAAATTTAGAATGACAAAACAGCCACTTCATAGGAGAAGCAGGTTTAAATATATAGCATATGATGTCTTTTTCTTGGGGGCATTGGGCAGATGACATACATTAAGGCCACAGAGTGTTTTTGTGGTCATTATGCTTTAATTCCTCAAGCCTTCAAACAGAACAAAATAATAAAATAATCTCTGCAGGCCTGTTGATTAAATCAATCCCACAGTTCTTACCTAACTCTTCTTTCCTTGAAGGAGGAAAAGCAACAAAAGACTAGTCCCTAATCTGGTGAGGAAAAAAAATAAAACAAACATTATTAAACACTTAATGGCAAAGATTATGCAAGAATTAAATAGCAAGAGAGTATATGGAAAGACTCCATAGTAATATTGGATCTAATTCTCCTTTTAAACTGCTGAGAAATGGTTCCTTTTAATAGCACAGGAAAATGCAATAAATCCATGTTATTTTTTCATAAATGTCAAACAGAAGGGAAAAAGTGTGATTCATGAAGTATGTGAATATGGAATCGATTATTATCATTTATAGCTCCCTGGAGCAGTGGAAAGGATCCTCTCAAACCTGTCTTGCACCTTCCCCAGCTCCCAGCAGCTCGCTGAGCCCGGTGTCCATCCGGGTGGAGCAGAGGTGGTTCAGTCTCTGCCAGGGCCACAGGTGCCCAGCCAGCCTGGAGCAGCAGCACTGACACCTCCGAGCCCAGAGCAGCCCTGTGCAGGATTGCTGATCCCTGAGCTGCTCAGCTTGGCCTTGGGCAGGGCACCTTCCACCCTGCACAGCTGAGAAGCTCTCACGCTGTTCTCCTGGCAGCCGAGAGAGCCCAGGGTGCTCCCCAGGAGCTGCTGCCCTGGCTGCAGCCCCCGGCAGGTCCTGTCAGGTCCTCCAGCCCCCTGGGGGTTCTCAGGGGCTCTGGAGCACCCAGGATGGCTCCGTGCAGAGCTGGGTCCCCCTGTGCCCCCCAAGGACAGGGGTGTCCCCACCTTCCCACACCAGCGCTGTCAGCAGAGCTCTGTTCCCTCAGGAATCCCTCAGGAATCCCTCAGGAATCCCTCAGGAATCCCTGGGGTTCAGAACTTTGTCCCCTTGAGCTCTTAGCTCACCAAACTACCCCTGTGTTGGACTCAGCCCTTTTCTGACCCAGACTAGGGGCAGCTGAGAGGTGTTTTAAAAACTTTTATATCATTTTCAGTCTCATGGGAAGGGTAGGACAATACAGATGTTATAATTCACACCATCACAATCAGAAACCAACTATTTCCTAATTACAATACACTGTAAGTGTTTCTTGGCCTATCAGCTTTTGTCACACCATGCTGTAAATGCCTTAAAGCCAATCATCTAAAATTACCCCCTGTGGTCCTACTACAATGCATCTTTCACAGTTCTATTTCTCCAAAGTATCTAGTGTTATTTGCAAGGCCATCCTTTGAAATTTATTTTGATGCCTCAGGTTTTGGCTTTTCTATTTTTCAGGTTCTGAGCTGCTTTAGTGTGTGGGTCTGGGCTTCACCTGAGGGGATGGTGAGCTCTCTGCACAGAGCAGGGAGACAAAACAATTCCTGCTCTAGCTGGGGACCAAGGACAAATGATCCAGATCTCAGGCCCAAGAGCACAAAGAATGTGGGCTGAAGAGAGAAAAACAAGCAGGATGGGACTTGATAACCTAAAGCTGTAATTGGACAATTAACTCCAGTATGCAAATGGATCAGAGCTTATAAAAGTGAGAGACCCTGTGAGCAGTGGGACATTTTGTGACCATTTTGGTTCACCTGGGGTGCAGCCCTGGCTGGGCTCTTGTGCTGCCCAAGGTGGATCCATTGGGGCCTCCTAATAAATCCCTGCTTTATGCTTTATGCTTTAGCTCCTCTAGTCTCTCTTCTAGGCCAACCGTCTCAAGGCATCAGTTTCTAGTTCCATTTCTCTCTCAGCAATGTCTGTCCTGTTCCATGGCATTTCTAAGTCAGCATTTCTTCTCTCCAGGTTTGCACACAGATGCACACTGTGTGAGCCTTCTGCCAGGCTTGGAGAATTCCCTACAAATCCATTTCCCACACCCTGGGGACAGTGGGGGCAGGGTTGGGGTGATAAGTGGCACCAGTGGGGCATCCCCAGCCCTGACACTGTCCCCTGTTGATGTAGGGTGACTCTAATGTAGGGAATAATGTGCTCTGACTCCATGATTTAGAAGGTTGAACAATTGCTTTATGAAGCTATACTGTATTACACTAATACTATACTGAATTACATACTAAAGAGATGCTATACTAAGGAATACTAAAGAAAAACCTGTGACTGTCTGAGGCAGTCAGGACACTGCTTTTGACTCAGCCAACCAAGGAATCAAAACAACTTCCACTAGTGTCTAATTAACAAATCACTTTGTGTAGCCATGATATTATGAAAAATCCTTTGCTGGGATTTTTCCTCTCCTGAGAAGCTGAGGAGCCTCAGGAGAGAAATGTAAACAATTACTATCTGCTGCTGTGGAATGCAACAGGTGCATCCATGATTGGTCCATGTGGATTGTTTTCCATTGATGACCAATCACAGCCACCTGTGCCAAGGCTGTGAGCAGTACAGGATTTTGTTATTCTATTCTGTTCTATTCTTGTTGTAGCCTTCTGATCTCTCTGTTCTTTAGTATAGTCTTAATGTAGCATTTTAATATAATATTTAACATAATAAATCAGCCTTCTGAAATGGAGTCAAGCCTCGTGTCACCACACACGGAGAGTTCGCCTCAACAACTTTGGGTAAACAATCTCCATAACACCTTCCACATGTGCCAAACAACAGGAGCAGAAAACAGAAATAAGAATTGTTTTCTTTTCTTCTCTGAGTTTCTGTTTTTCCCTGAGAGAAACCCTTGGGCAGTTGTGCCTGCTGCTCTCAGAGAAGAGCCGCAGCCCCGTCGTGTCCCCGCAGGTCGCTGGCCCTGGGCCAGCAGTACAGCTCGCTGGGCTCCCAGCCCATCCTCTGCGGCTCCATCCCCGGCCTGGTCCCCAAGCAGCTCCGCTTCTGCCGCAACTACATCGAGATCATGCCCAGCGTGGCCGAGGGGGTGAAGCTGGGCATCCAGGAGTGCCAGCACCAGTTCCGGGGCCGCCGCTGGAACTGCACCACCATCGACGACAGCCTGGCCATCTTCGGGCCCGTCCTGGACAAAGGTACCCGGGGGCAGCGGGGCTGGGGCAGGGCTGGCACAGCTCCCTGGGCTTGGGGGGACACCAGGACTGTGCACTGAGCTTCTCTGGGCTGTGGGGTGCACCAGGACTGTGCACTGAGCTCCCTGGGCTTGGGGTGCACCAGGACTGTGCACTGAGCTCCCTGGGCTTTGGGGGGTCACCAGAACTGTGCACTGAGCTCCCCTGAGCTTTGGGGGGCACCAGGACTGTGCACTGAGCTCCCTGGGCTTTGGGGGGTCACCAGAACTGTGCACTGAGCTCCCTGGGCTTGGGGTGCACCAGGACTGTGCACTGAGCTCCCCTGAGCTTTAGGGTGCACCAGGACTGTGCACTGAGCTCCCCTGAGCTTTGGGGTGCACCAGGACTGTGCACTGAGCTCCCCTGGGCTTTGGGGTGCACCAGGACTGTGCACTGAGCTTCTCTGGGCTTTGGGGTGCACCAGGACTGTGCACTGAGCTTCTCTGGGCTTTGGGATGCACCAGGATTGTGTATTGAGCTCCTCTGGGCTTTGGGGTGCATCAGCATTGTGCACTGAGCTCGCTGGGCTTTGGGGTGCACCAGGATTGTCCTGCTGGACAGGGAGAGGGTCTGATGTGTCGTGGCAGGCTCCAAGTCAGGTAATAATTAGTATTGACTCTATGATTGCAGAAGGTTGATTAATTGTTTTATTACACTACATTATTAAGAAGCTTGTAATTCTTACAGAGAGGCTGATACAGCTTTGACTTAATTGGTCAATCTCTTCAAACACCATTTAGTGTCCAATTAAGAAACTATCTTTTGGCAAACAATTTTCATAACACATTCTACATGTGCACAACAGGTGCAGCAAGTGGAGATAGGAATTGTTTCTTATTCTTTTCTCTGTGAGTTTTCTCTGAGCTTTCTCACAGCTTCCCAGGAAAATCCTGGCAGAGAGCTGTCTCTCTCTGTTCAGAGGACATGTGGTTACCACACTCAAGTGCCAGCTTTCAACCCTGATTTCTCCAGTTTCTTTCTCTTCCAAGTTTTTGGCGTGTTCCCATCACAAGGAGGGAAAGGTTCCCATCCCAGGAGCTCAGAAGGGCCGGAGAGGATACAAAGGAAGGGAAGGTTTAGCCCCAAGCACTCTCATGTCTTCTGGGATCAGGGGCTCCCTGTCCTGGGCATGCAGCATTTCCAAAGTGGGTCCAGCAGAGCCGTGGGAAGAGCCAAGGAGAGGGGCTGTGGCTGAGCTCTTTGGGATCAAGGCAGAGCCACTGAAGCACAAACTGCCCACCCCAGGAGAGCCCTGGGCTCAGGTTTCCCCTCCAGTGAGCAACCGTGGTTGAAATCCGTGGTCCTGATCAGGCTTAGTTCAATAAATCTTTTTTTCAATGGGATTTCAATGAATCTTTTCACAAATGAGCCCAAAAAGCAGGAAACAAGGAGAGGTTATAAATTCATTTTCCCTCTCCTCTCTCTAAACTCCTCATTGTGCCCTACTCCCAAAATGCCACCTTCTAAACTGGCACAGGTCAGGCACACTGGGGCACTGATGAGGCACCAGAAAATTGGGGTTCCCAGTGACATCATGGGGCATTATGCTGGAAAAAGTGAGAAAGGGCCCCAAAACAGCCTGGAAGGAGGTGCTGGAGGGACAGATCATAGAATCACCACATTCCCTGAGTTTGAAGGGATCATCCAGTGCAGCTCCTGCCCTGCCCAGACCCCCCAAAATCCCACCCTGGGCATCCCTGGCAGCGCTGTCCAAACCCTCCTGGAGCTCTGGCATTCCCTGGGGAGCCTGGGCAGTGCCAGCCCCTCTGGGGGCAGAACCTTTCCCTGAGATCCATCCTGACCCCCGAAGAGAGAGGGGATGTGGTTGAGCTCACAAGGCTGGTGGCAGAGCTGAGAGGTGCTGGCAGCTCTGAGGAGGGTGGCACCAGCCCTGCTCGTCCCTGACAAGGGCTGTGGACACTCCTGGGACTTCAGAGATCATGGAACAGGCTGAGCTGGAAGGGACCTTTCCAAGAGCATCTGGTCCCACTCAGCCTCTTCCTTGGATGGAACAGGAGTCACAGACTGGGTTGGGTGGGACAAAGCCCTGTCCCACATCTCAGATGTCCCAGAGCCCAGATCAAAAGGCACTCCCACCAAACTGATCCAAGCAGAGAATTAAGAGCTCCCAGTGGATAAAAATCTCCATTTTCTCCCGTGGATTCTGTTCACTCTGTGCCACATTCAGCACAAGGGACATCCACAGGTGATATTTTGGTTTCTTTTGGGCCCATTATCTGGATCCTGTGGCCACCATTGCCATGTTCCCTTTTCCTGATTTCCAGCACACCCAGGGGTGCAGCCCCACAAACCAAACCCAAACCCAAACCAAGGCAATCCCTGTCCCAGCTCACACTCTGCATTTGGCCACAATTGTTGGGGTTTCACCTCACAAACACCTGGGTGAAATCCCCTGTCAGCATTAACTTGGATCATCTCAGCTGCTGCTCCCTCAGGTGGATTGAGGCTATTTTGGAAAAGCTTCAAAGGTGCAGTTCTCACTACAACAGCATCAAAAATCTTTTCTAATAGAGCCTGAAAAGAAACTGAGGGTAATTTCATTTTAAAGGAGCTTCAGACATGTTAACCATGGTCACTTGCAGTGAAGGAGGGCTCGGCCTGCAGAGCAGCACAGTGTGGGAGGGCTCAGCTGAGCAGACGTCATGTCCAAGTGTGTGTCCAAGCCTTCCTGGGCTGCTCCTCCCTGGGGCATCCTCCAGGCTGTGAGCTCTGCTGCCAGTGTGGGGGCACAGGGCTGCCCTCCCTGAACACCCAAGGGATTCCTGCCTCCAGGGCCTCCCCAGTGTCACCCACAGCCCCAAGCTCTCCTCCTGCAGCCCCTGGCAGGGCACAGAACACAAAGGCAGCTCAGAGAAACCCCAGGGGCTGAACCCATTTGGGAGCTGCTGAACAACTCCCCTGGCGAGGCTCTGCCCTCACCCACCCGGGCTCTCCACGTTTCCCACCCCAGAGTCAGACCCACAAGGTTTTGGCTGCTGTGGGTGCCCAGGCTTTGGTTTCCTAAGGCCACTGATGATCCTCTGCAAGGCAGAACAGGCTGGGAGAGCTGGGGGTGCTCACCTGGAGAGGAGAAGCTCCAGGGAGAGCTCAGAGCCCCTGCCAGGGCCTGAAGGGGCTCCAGGAGAGCAGGTGATATCTTGGTTTCACAGCTTCATAAACACAACCAAAACCATTTCCCCCTCCTCTTCCTGGCTGCTGACACCAGTGGGTCCCTGCAACCCAAAATCTCTTTATTGGACAGAAATTATTGTTTGCAGTGGTGCTTTGGAAATGGGCATTTTATGGTACTGGCTTCAAAGAACTGGAGAAATTGGGGTGAGAGCAGGACTTTGGGCTCTTTCCCAACAGCCCCCTGGAGAATGCAGGAGTCCTGGTGAATCTTTCTTTCAAAGCCCCAATATTCTGCAAAGAAACAGTTCATGAAATCCTTTTTTTCAAGTTTCAGCCTCCCAGTGAGGGTAGGTATCATTTCAGATCCCCAAAATGTCAGTTGAGAATTTCAGTGAAAATCATTCCTTTGTGTTAATGTGGGATTCTTTGCAGGAACCAGGATTGTCAAGCCTTATTAGAGCACTAATAGGCACCATGAGATTCATTTCCCCTCTGTTGTGCCAGGGTGTATTTTGGGGTAACTGTTGTATTTACTACCAAATAACTTGTCAGCAGGGCTCAACACACTCTGATTTGCTGCCTAATAAAAGCCTGTCCTAAATTTCAGCACTTAAAATATCAGAAAGTTTTAATTTTCTTTAAAAAATGGTCACTAAAAAACTGTCATAAAAAATTCTAAACAAGTTATGAAAGAACTGCTCAAGCACTGAGACACTGAAAATCTCTCAGCACCTTTTCTGTCAGCGGGAAAGCACTTAAAGATCAGATTTGAACCATCCTCCCTGTAATGAGCAAACTGAACTTTGAATTTATGGAGAATATTTTAAGATGCTTTCGGCTGCAGGGACTCGAGCAAAGCCTCGTGTGTGGACTTGCCTCAGCATCTCCACACAGCCCGAGCTGACAAGGTAAAATATCACCCAGAGCCCTGAAACTCTTCTGACAGATGGAGAAAAATGAGTGAGCACGTTGGATATTCAGCTTTCCCAGTCCCCCTGTGACATCTCCAGACAGCCCAGCATGTATTTATCCTGGTGTCTCACTAACCTGTAAGTGGAGCAGTTAAAAATAAACAGCATCATCTGCAAAGGAGGACACATCAAAGCCCAGCCCATCTGATGGTGGGGATTATTCACATTTTTGAACTGTGCTCGTGTCTTTTCCCTGCTGCCTTCAAAATTAATGAGCAGATTGAGGATGGGACTGGAGTCACTGTGTGGCAGCGAGGAACACAGGATCCTTTGAGATTCCCAGAGTCTGCTCAGGAGAGCTGGAGAGGGACTGGGGACAAGAATCTATCAATGAAAGGACACAGGGAATGGCTCCCACTGCCAGAGGGCAGGGCTGGATGGGAGATTGGGAATGAGGAATTGTTCCCTGGCAGGGTGGGCAGGCCCTGGCACAGGGTGCCCAGAGCAGCTGTGGCTGCCCCTGGATCCCTGGCAGTGCCCAAGGCCAGGCTGGATGGGGCTTGGAGCAGCCTGGGACAGTGGGAGGTGTCCCTGCCATGGCAGGGGGTGGGATGGGATGGGCTGCAAGGTCCCTCCTAACCCAAACTGTTCTGTAGTTCTGTGATTCTATGTTTTCTTTTTTCCATGTCTTATTTTTTAGCCCAGGCCATAAAAAAAAAAAAAAAAAAAAAAAAAAAAAAAAAAAAAAAAAGTGGGGTAAGATCATGTTTTTACAAGCAGATTCCCCAAGATGATTTATACTGCAGGTGTGCAGTCTGGGATAAGGAGTGAAGAAAAACCTGCTTTCCCCTTCCCTCCTTTCCCTTTTCTTTGTAAAATAAGGTCAGCTCTTATCTCAAGCCAATGGCTCTTCCAGCCAAGTCCTGCCCACACCAGGGCTGAGCCAGCAGCCACACATTGCTCTGGGGGGGGAGCAATCACAATTCCTGATGAAGTCCAGGATTTTGGTTAAAGCTGGCACACACACAGGCTGGCTGCGAGGGCAGCTGGACAGCAATTCCTGGGCTGGGCAGGAGGAGCAGGGCAGCAGGGCTGGACTGCAGAGGTCAGCTTTGCAGGCTCACACCTTTCCCCACTCCCTGAGCTCCTGTCCTGGCTGCCCTGGCTCCTCTCCTGCCCTGGATTTTGCGTGGCCAAGCTTTGGTAGTGAGGAGCTCTGTGAGAAGCTGCTGGAAGCTTTCTCCATGTCCAGCAGAGCCAGTGTCAGCTGGCTCCAAGACGGGTGGGCACTGGCCAGGGCTGGGCCAGAAGCAGAGGCAATGCTTCTGAGAGAACAGATTTAAGAAGGAAAAATGAGTTACTGTGCAGTTGTAACTGTGACCGGAGAAGAGCAGGTGAGGAACAGCTCTGCAGACACCAGGGGCAGAGGAGGAGGAGGAGGAGGAGGAGGAGGAGGAGGTGCCCCAGGCACCAGATCTGAGGTTCCCCTGCAGCCCGTGGTGCAGCCCATGGTGAAGAAGGATGCTGCCCTGCATGCTTCCATCCACCCCTGGAGGACCGTGGTGGTCCCCAGTCCCTGTGCTCCTGTCCCCTCAGCCCGGGCTGCCCTGGCTCCTCTCCTGCTCGGGACATTCCCGGGAAGATGCTGCGGGGCCGGGGCAGGTGCAGGGGAGGCAGCTGGGCCCGGGCTGCCGTCGGGGGTCCCGGTGAGCTCGGCTAAGCCCCTGACACGAGCTGTGAAAAGGCAGACCCGCACCACGATAACCCAGGGCTTTTCTCAGCCATGACACTCGCAGTCATTTGCATCTAAACAGGGGTGTGTGGGATCAGGGGCCGGCTTGATATAAACTCAGCAGCTTAAAGGGAGGGGGAGGGAAAGGAGAGAAGGAGAGAGAAAAATAAGCTTATACCGATGAGAAAGAGCTAAGCTTCCTCCCCTACTGTGAGGCAGGGCGAGCGATACCATCGCAGCGCCGCAGTCGTTTCAAATCGCTGCCGCATTCACACGCCCTTTAGCCATTCTGGGGGGCTGGGGAGCGCCATCAATAGGGATTTCCCAGCCGGGCTGGCGGGATTGGAGGGTGACGGCAGGACAGGGGAACATTGCCCCGTTGCTACGAGGTGCTCCTGGGGAATGCCAGTGCTCTGTGCCGTGGGTACGCTGGCCGGCGGAAACATTCCGCATTATGCTGGTAATACAGTGTGACACCGCGGGAACAATGGCAAATTGAGTGTCCCAGCAGGTAACGGGCCTGGCTGGGAGACAGTCGCAGTGGTGCACTGTCAAGGCGGCTCTAATCCTCCCTCGCCAGCCCCTCCCCTGGTTCTGGGAACGCTGCTCCCGCATTTCATCTCTGGGAAATTCTCCCAGCTCCTCGCCCAGAGCCGGGCGAGAATTTCAAGGCGAGCGGTTTGAGCGCAGCTCGCTCCCCCCCGCGCCGGCACCGTGCGGGGAACACGGGGACACGGGGGGCACAGGGGGTACGGGGGGTACAGGGGAAGCTGCAGGAGCCATGTCCATCGCAGCCTTGCCCGGCGGGCACTGCCAGCCCGGCTCGGTCCTGCCCAGCCCGGCTCGGTCCAGCCCGGCTCAGCCCAGCCCGGCCCAGCCCCCTGGCAGTGACCCTGCTCCCGTGCCCATCCACACCTCCCAGGGACAGCGGAGCCACCTCGGTCCCGAGAGCGACTCGTGTCCTCCCCCTGTCCCCGGGCTGTCCTGGGCTGGGGCCAGGAGGGCTCGCTGGCTCCTTGATGCGATCTGCAGTGGATCAGGGGCCACCCAAAGAGCCTTTGTCAGGCTGAGACACCTCACTGGCAGCAGGGACCTTCCACCGGTGCCCACAGCCCCCAGCGGTGCCAGTAGGAGCAGCTGGTGAAAGATCCCCTAGGAAAACCTGGCTGGTGATCCCTGCTGGCACATCGGAGATGGGAAGGGCAAGGAGGGAAGAGTTTGAGCTGAAAGGAGATGAAAACCTCAGCAGGGTGCTGCCAGCACAGCCAGGACTGAGCAGCCCTGCTTGGAGATCCCATTTGGAGCTCCCCGGGCAGGGCTGCACATTCCCACAGCTGGCAGCCACCCACAGCCACCTCCCCTGAGAGCCTGCTCGGGCTGGCATCAGCTCAGCTCGGCAAACCTGGCTTTTGGGAGCCAGGGCCACCTCTGCAGAGAGACTGAGGCTGGGGAGAGGGGCCTGCTGTCCCCAGGCATGAGGGCAGGGATGCAGGGGACAGCTGAGAGACGGCTCCTTCATGGCTCCTGCTCTGGAAGGAGGGGACTGGCTCCAAGGTGATTTTCTCAGCAGAAATTTCTGATTCATCCCGCATCTGCTGATGACTGTCCCCATGATCTGATCACACCAGACCCACGAGGCAGTCAGAGCCCTCCAGCCCAGGCTCCACAGCCCCTGAACTTTGGCCTCCAGCCCCTCCTGCACACTGGCACAAGGTTGGATTGACCCCAACATCTGCTCTGGATTTAGAGACCTGAAGTCTCCATCCTCATAGATGGGCTGAAGCAGCCTGGTGTCACTGCCCAGGGAGCTGCACCTCTGCAGAACTCTGAGCCAAAAGGTGTCCCAGGGAAAAAGCTGCCTCTGAGATACCAACTGTGCTTGGGAGAGCCTGGGTCAGTGCAGCCACTGAGGCCAAGGTCAAACCCCTGTTCTCCCACCGTGTGTCCTGGATCATCCAAAACCTTTCCCCAGGTCAATGAGCTGCTCCATCTCTAACCCCTGGCATGGAGCCCTTCTCTGGGTTCCCAGGCCAGGAATTACTCCAGTAGCTCTCTCCTGAGGCCCCTCAAGCTGCTACTGACACCTTGTTCACCCCTGAGCTGGATGAAATCCTGGACCCTGTGTTTGGGAGATGCTGCAGCTGTGACCCCCAGAGCTGGAGTCACAGCCCTGCCCCACCTCCTGCTGCCCAAGGGCAAGGCTGGCCGCTCCCGCTCCAGGAAACCTCCATTAACAAATTAACAGAATAACTTCTGGCTTTCCAGTGAGGTTGAGGTGCTGCTGGGGGAGGCTGGGAAGGAGAACACCAGTGTGGCACTGACCAGTGACCCCCGGGCTCTGTCTCTGCAGCCACTCGAGAATCTGCCTTCGTGCACGCCATCGCCTCGGCCGGGGTGGCCTTCGCTGTCACCCGCTCCTGCGCCGAGGGCACCTCCACCATCTGTGGCTGCGACTCCCACCACAAGGGACCCCCGGGCGACGGCTGGAAGTGGGGGGGGTGCAGCGAGGACGCCGACTTCGGCGTGCTGGTGTCCCGGGAGTTCGCGGACGCGCGGGAGAACCGGCCGGATGCGCGCTCCGCCATGAACAGGCACAACAACGAGGCCGGCCGGACGGTGAGTGCCCAGCGGGCAGGCTGGGTGTGGTGTTTGAGAGGGGCTCCAGGGCGAGGGAAGAGATGAATCACAGAATAATGAGGTTGGAAGAGACCTCTAAGATCATCAGGTCCAACCTATGCCCTAGCACCTCAACTAGACTGTAGCACCAAGTGCCATGTCCAGTCTTTTTTTAAACAATCTGACTCCATGATCTCAAAAGGCTGATATATTATATTATATTATATTATATTATATTATATTATATTATATTATATTATATTATATTATATTATATTATATTATATTATATTATACTAAAACTATAGAGAAAGGATACATCAGAAGGCTTAACAAGAATGAATAATAAGAACTCGTGACTGCTGCCAGAGTCCCGACACAGATGGACCCTGATTGGTCATTAAGTTAAAACAATTCACATGAAACCAATCAAACATGCACCTGTTGGTAAACCATCTCCAGACCACATTCCAAAGAAGCAAAACACAGGAGCAGCAGTCAGATAATTATTGTTTTCATTCTTCTCTGAGGCTTCTCAGCTTCTCAGGAGAAGAAATCCTGGCGAAGGGGTTTTTCAGAAAATATCATGGTGACAGCTGAGGTCCAGTGGGGACAGGCTGAGTGGCCAGTCCTGCATGGATGGCCCAGTGCAGCTCCTCCTGATGGAGTGGGACCACAGGAATTCCCAGGCAGCGACTTTCTAGGATTATTTTCCAGGGCACAGCATTTCCTCTCCCTCCAAACAGACATGTGGGGTTAAGAGCTAAAATATTCCTTGATTCCAGTGCAAACAGAATTCCAGAATTCTGTTTGGGTTGACGGGACCTTAAAGCCCAGCTTGTTCCACACCCCTGGCATGGGCAGGGACACTTTCCACTATCCCAGGCTGCTCCAAGCCCTGTCCAACCTGGCCTTGGACACTTCCACAGGTGGGGCAGTCACAGCTTCCCCAGGCATCCTGAGCACCTTCCAAAGCCATAGAAACCCAACCCCAGGTCAGCAGTGGCTGAAGAGGATTTTCCTCTCAGTGCCTCCTTCCTGCATGTTCCCTATTATAACATTATCCCACCCAGTGATTCCTTGGAGTAGATGATAGCCACAGCCCCATCCAACTGGAATATTCCATTCCATTCCATTCCATTCCATTCCATTCCATTCCATTCCATTCCATTCCATTCCTGCAGCCAGCAAGTACCTGGGCCTCTGCCTGCCCTGGGTCATTTGCAAACCCAGTGGGACCTTTCCAACAGTGCTTGAAGCTAACACTGATATGAGTTTTCCATACCACAGCAAGTAGAGGTGGAAGGAGAGAAGCCTGACAGCTTCCAGCACCAAAATCCCCCACCAAACTCCAGTAATTTTATTCAAAATCAGTGATTATTTTGCTCCACACAAAGGAGATTTTGGTGAAGAGTCCTGTCTGTAGATTCCAAATTTCACACACTTTTTAGTACAAACTGTTGGACTTGAGACATAAATGAAGGGTCATTAGCAAGGAGAGAACAGGGATCAGTCTCCATCCACAGGGCTCAGAAACATCTCCAGCCCTCAGCTTTTCTGGGCTCCGACTGTCCACACACATAGCACAGAAAGGACCCCCACAAAAGGATCAGACATTGGGACTAGGTTAGACTGGATTAAGATAGACTGGATTGGATTGGATTGGATTGGATTGGATTGGATTGGATTGGATTGGATTGGATTGGATTGGATTGGATTGGATTGGATTGGATTGGATTGGATTGGATTGGATTGGATTGGGTTGGATTGGATTGGGTTGGGTTGGGTTGCGATGGGATGGGTTGGGTTGGGTTGGATGGGGTTGGGTTAGGTTGTGTTGGATGGGGCAGATGATCAGAGCAGCTGCCCACCTCAGCTGTACTTTTGGAGTGTGACATCTCTGGGGCATCTCCAACCAGCCCATGCTCACAGAATCACAGAACCAGAGAATATCCTGGGCTGGAAGGGACCTACAGGGATCATTGATCCATCTCCTGCCCTGCCCAGACACCCCAAAATCCCACCCTGGGCATCCCTGGGAGCACTGTCCAAACCCTCCTGGAGCTCTGGCAGCCTCGGGGCCGGGACCATTCCCTGGGGAGCCTGGGCAGTGCCAGCACCTCTGAGGAAGAACCTTTCCCTGAGATCCAACCTAATCCTCCCTGGCTCAGCTCCAGCCATTGCCTTGGGTCTGGTCACTGGTCACAAGAGTGAAGAGATTGATGCCATCCACTGCTCCTCTTGAGGGTGTGAGGACCTCACTGAGGTCTAACCTGTCTCCTCTCCTCCAGCTGAACAAACCAAGGGCCCTCATACGGCCCCTCCAGACCCTTCCCCATCCTTGTGGCCTCCTTTGGACGCTCTCTAGTGGCTTAATGCCTTTTTTTATGTTGTGGTGCCCAAAACTGCCCCCAAAACTCAAGGTGAGGCTTCCCAGACCAAGCTTAGATCAGACATTTAAGCCCAGGTGGCACAGGCAGGTGATGGAGAGCAAACCCCATGTTCCACCCACTGCTCTGACCGTGCTTTGCCCCGCACAGACCATCCTGGACCACATGCACCTCAAGTGCAAGTGCCACGGGCTCTCGGGGAGCTGCGAGGTCAAGACCTGCTGGTGGGCCCAGCCCGATTTCCGGGCCATCGGGGACTACCTGAAGGATAAATACGACAGCGCCTCGGAGATGGTGGTGGAGAAGCACCGCGAGTCCCGGGGCTGGGTGGAAACTCTCAGGGCCAAGTACGCGCTTTTCAAGCCGCCCACGGAGCGGGACCTGGTCTACTATGAGAACTCCCCCAATTTCTGTGAGCCCAACCCGGAGACGGGCTCCTTTGGGACGAGGGACAGAACGTGCAACGTCACCTCCCACGGCATCGACGGCTGCGACCTCCTGTGCTGCGGGCGGGGCCACAACACCCGGACTGAGAAGCGCAAGGAGAAGTGTCACTGCATCTTCCACTGGTGCTGCTACGTCAGCTGCCAGGAGTGCACGCGGGTCTACGACGTCCACACCTGCAAGTAAGCACAGGTGGGTCTGCACTGGTGGAGGTGGCTCCAGAGCAGGGCTGAGGGGTCCATCAGCCCCGTGGTCAGCCCCACACGTGGCCTCACGCTGCAGAGGATGGCACAAAACTCCTGGTGGCCCCAGCCAGGGCACAAACCCAGGGCACTGAGAAGGCTCTGGGCACCTCACCCAGGCGAGGTGTGACTGCTGGTCCCTTGGGCAAGACAGACTGCCTGGGGAGGGCAGGACAGGACAGGGAGGGCAGGACAGGACAGGGAGGGCAGGGACAGGACAGGGAGGGCAGGGACAGGTCAAGATGCCCTGGAGAGCAGGGACAGGACAAGAGCAGGGACAGCACAGGGAGAGCCTGGAGAGGACAGGGAAGGCAGGGACAGGACAGGCAGCAGAGACCAGGAACAGCTGGGTCCCAGTGAGGCACAGCCCCACAAGGCAGAGCTGCTGCCACAGCAGCCCCCGAGCTCCCAGCTCTGTCCTGCTCCACAGGTCCAGCCCCTGCAGGCACCAACACGGGGACTCAGGTGGAAATGGGTTGTTCACAGTGAAAGCTCCCCCAGCTGCTGCTGTCCTGGTCTCAGCAGATGCAGTGGGCAGAGGAAGGAGCCCCCAGCCCAGCCCAGCCCAGCTCCCTCCTCCCTGCTCCAAGGTGATGCTGGAGAGCCGAACCTGTCTGAGCACACCAACAGAGCCCACCGGTGGTCCCTCCTTCCCCCTCCCCTCTTCCCTCTCTGTTCCCCCTGCCCCACATCTCCCATGGAGCCCTTCAGGCAGGCAGAGCTCAGAGCTGACCCCCTGGCACCTGGCCCAGGACAGGAGCAGGGCACAGGGCACTGCTGCCACCTCCTACAGGGCACAGCATCGTCCCAGCCCCTCCTCACCGTGCAGCTGCGCAGGAGAGGATTTTGGGGATCAGGGCAGTACCTACTGACTCTGCATTCCCTAACATGACTTTACATCCCAGAGGGAGCTCAGGGATCTCTCTGGGGACAGGTTACCTGCCCGGTGAGCTGCTGCACCAGCTCTGAACATGAGAGACTCCAGGGAGAGAGGAAATCTCTGTCCCAGCCTCCTTGTCTGCCTTCCCTCCAGCCAGTTGTGGTCCCACAGCACAATGCCAGGCAGAGCCTTCCCCTGCCAGGGGATTTACTGAGCTGTCAGCAATCACCCAGGAAGCTCCTGTGCCATGAGCAGGGATTTGGGCCACATCCCACAGCCCACAGCCCATCCCATGCAGCAGAACCAGTGTTGGTCTCCCGCCCTGCTCCCCAGGCCATCCCATGTCCCTGAGCACATCCCCTCTCCCTGGGTTTACCTCCTCCAGGAGGACTGACCTGTGAAATTAATAAATAAATACTCCCTCTGTCCTGGTGGGCTGCAGGACCTCCAGCCACGCTCAAACACACCCCAGACAGTGAACTCCAGGGAGCGGGGCCACTCGGGCTGGGGCTGCTGCTCCGCTCTCTCTCCTCCTGGGAATGAGCACCCCTGGGGCTGCACAGAGCAATAAAGGGGAGAGACCCCTGGCAGGGAGCAGGGGGGCCCTCAGGCAGAGCAGAACCCCAGGTCCCTCCCTGCAGAGTTCCAGACCCCCTTCAGAGCAGCCTTTGCTCCCGAAAATTCAAATCCCAGAGAGCTCCAAAAACCTCTCCCAGCCAGAGCCACGCCGTCCTCTGATATGCATCTATTTAAAGTATATATTAAATCCATGTCTGGAAAGGCTCCCAGTACCTGACTTTAAACGAAATCCCTTCTTTGTTTGTTTGTTTTTTAATCAAGAAAAGGTATTTAATATTAAATAGAACATTTATTGCCTTGTAATTATTTTACTGTAGCCAGGTATTCTAGCACTGAATGGAAGATCTTTTTCCATCAATCTGCTGTATCCAAAGTTTTGTATAAAGTTGTAGAGGTCGATTTTTTTTTTATTTTATATTCAGAAAATTTCTCTTTTTATAAGCATTATTTATTATACAATGTATATACTTGAGTTAACTAAGATTATATATTATATAAATATATATATTTGGAGAAAAATATATTTCAACTTCCATTTTTTGTGGTACATCATTAAAGAAAAGGTAAAAATTCAAAAATATGCACTTGCCAGCTTGTGTGGTTTGGCTCTGAGGGTCCTGCTGAACAGCTACAGAGCAGTGGGTCATGACCCAGCTGCTCATGGACAGGGACAGCCACGGAATCATGGAATCCCAGAGTGGTGTGGGTGGGAAGGGACCTTAAGGGTCACATAGTTCCACCTCCCTGGCATGGACAGGGGTACCTGTTAAAGGAATCAAGACAATGATGGCAAAAAGAAGAGATTTTACAGCTGAATTCTGAGATTTTTGTTCAGGCAGTGCCAGGGCACAGTGTGCACAACTGAGATTCAGCAGTCATGGAACCCTTGGGGCTGGAAAAGCCCTCTAAGATCATTGAATCCAACCACTGCCAGCACTGCCAAGGCCACCACTGAGCCCGGTCCCCAAGTGCCACACCTACACAATCCCTCCAGGGATGGGGACTCCACCCCTGCCCTGGGCAGCTGTGCCAGGGCTGGACAACTTTCCATGGATAAATCTCCCTGAAATCCCATCTAAACCTGCCCTGGCCCAGCCTGAGGCCGTTCCCTCTCCTCCTGTCCCTGTTCCCTGAAGCAGAGCCCGACCGCCCCTCACGGCCCCTCCTGGCAGGAGCTGTGCAGAGCCAGAAGATCAAATTAAGCAATGGATCAAGATGAAATTAAGCAATGGATCAAGATGAAATTAAGCAATGGATCAAGATGAAATTAAGCAATGGATCAAACCATGCTCCAGACTTTAAGGGTCACATAGTTCCACCTCCCTGGCATGGACAGGGGTACCTGTTAAAGGAATCAAGACAATGATGGCAAAAAGAAGAGATTTTACAGCTGAATTCTGAGATTTTTGTTCAGGCAGTGCCAGGGCACAGTGTGCACAACTGAGATTCAGCAGTCATGGAACCCTTGGGGCTGGAAAAGCCCTCTAAGATCATTGAATCCAACCACTGCCAGCACTGCCAAGGCCACCACTGAGCCCGGTCCCCAAGTGCCACACCTACACAATCCCTCCAGGGATGGGGACTCCACCCCTGCCCTGGGCAGCTGTGCCAGGGCTGGACAACTTTCCATGGATAAATCTCCCTGAAATCCCCTCTAAACCTGCCCTGGCCCAGCCTGAGGCCGTTCCCTCTCCTCCTGTCCCTGTTCCCTGAAGCAGAGCCCGACCGCCCCTCACGGCCCCTCCTGGCAGGAGCTGTGCAGAGCCAGAAGATCAAATTAAGCAATGGATCAAGATGAAATTAAGCAATGGATCAAGATGAAATTAAGCAATGGATCAAACCACGCTCCAGACTTTGCACACTCCCCACATGTCACAGGCTGTCTCTGAATCACCTTCCAACACTTTGGACAGACCAAGGTCCACATTTTTCATATAAAAACTCATTCTCCTGTCCATGAATAATTCTGTGGGTGTTTCTGCAGCATCCCCTTGCATTAGCAATGCTTTTAAGTGCACACAATTTTCCACTGCACTGCCCTCAAATATACCTGTCTGACAGGCAAAATAAATACAGAATCACTCATATTTTTGCCCTGATCCCCAAATTACTCACAAAGCCACCCCACGGATCCACATGCAAGGCCAGGGTGTCTCTGCTGGTGCCACCACCCCTGACATGTCCTCACCAGAGCACCTGGCCCCTGGAGGGTTCTGGACTTCACAGCTCTGGGGGTGAAGCTCTCCCTGTCTGCCCCAAACCTTCCTCCACCCCACACTGTGCCCCCAAAACCCATCCCAGCACCTTCAAATCTGCCTCTGGTCAACAACTCCATTTCAGGAACACATTTCTAGAAAGTTCAAGATGAAACAGGGTAAAGAAGGGGGTGAAGAATTCAGCCCTTACATTGAAAGCAATATTGTGTATTTGTCATACATTTAAAGCCCCTCTGCCAGGAGGAGCCATGGAGAACACACAGGTGGTGGGAAGGTGCTGCCCTTCCCTTGTGCCACCTGCAGGGAACATCTCAGATGGAGACCTTGGAACAGAGGTTGCAGTGGGTCAGGTGTCACACCCAGCAGCCCAGCCTGGCTTTCCAGCCTTCCCCAGGGCTGGGATACTTTCCATGGATAATGGAAATGAATAATTTCCATGGATACCCCCACCCCACACACACAGACACACACAGGGCCTCCTCAGCCCTGCAGAGCCCACACAGCTCCAGAATGGGCTGGACCAGACTCCTCTCACTAACCTCTACTCAGGCTGGGCTAAATTCAGTCCATCCACACTCAGGCACACTCTGAGCACTCCTCTGGCAGCAGCCCAGGAGCAGCTCTGCTCCTCACACACACCAAGAGCAGACACAGATGGCACCCAGGTCATCACAAGGAGTTGTGCTTTTTATTGAATCCATTGAATGTGCAATTAAACCAGATATTTATTCATCAATATAGTTCTGGACACAGACACGATAAGGTTTACATCATTTACTCTGAAATATAAGTTACTGTGTGCTGCTGTCACTCAGACTGGCAAAGGGAAGGGAGGAACAAATAAATTCACAAGATCCTACACAAAATGAGAGGGAACCACCACTGGGACTCACAACAGCATCACAACACAACAGCACTGCCAGAGGAGCAGAGTGGAGTGCCTGAACCACTCCAACTGCTGTGAGCACACTGAGGACAACAGGACCTCCACCTGGGCCTGGAAGGACGTGGGGCACCCTCCTTCCCTGGAACACCCCTCTGCATGCCACTGCTAGCCCTTACAGTGGGTCTGGTCGAGTTTAGGAAGCTACACTGACTAACATCTGCTAAATGGCTTTGAGTTCATGCCCCACCACACTGAGGTATGTTTCAGGAACCTTCTGGAAGGAATGGAGCCCAGGGGAGCAGCCTCAGCATCTCCCTGAGGCCTCAGGAGCATGGGAAGGAGCGAGGAGCAAGGTTTGATACATTCCTTTATTTCAGTGCAAA